GGCGATCTCGCCTCTCGATTTCGTCTTCAGTGAACAGAGGGTTTAGGGTTTAGGGTTTAGGATTCTCAGAGTTCAGGTAGGCTGGGCAGCTGGTATTCAGGGTCCGGGCTTGGGGTATGCGTTTGGGGTCGATTTTGGCCTCGGAGGACTTCTGGCCTGGACGCGACGAATTAAAGTAATATAGGGGCCTTAATGGCTAGAGCAGGGTTTTGGGGCCCACTATACCCTAAACCCTAAACCCTAAACCCTAAACCCTAAACAAGGAACCCCCAAAAAATAGTATTCGTAATTATTTTGGCCCCTCTACTCGTGACTTAGCCCTTCGTCCTCCTAACAAGCCCATGGTCCTCCTGGGCTCATGGCAGGATTCAGGTGAAGCTACATGATAGAACCCTCTTATAGTAGATCACTTATAGAACCCTTTAAAGGAACCCTTTAAGGATCCCTTTAAAGACAGGATTTAGGTCGAGCCCTTCCTGAACTTAGCAGAACCGGTGCCAAAAAAATAGTCAAGCACTGCGTGGGAAAGGGAACTGTGTCTGAGTCACCCCAAAAACATAATCTACTTACTAAGGGACTTAGGACTTAGGACTTAGGACTTAGGACTTAGGACGTAGGACTTAGGGCTTAGGACTTAGTACTTCGGACTTAGTTAGGGTTTAGGGTCGGCTCTGATGTGCAGACCGATCGAAACCTAGATCCCGACCCTGACGCCTTCTTATCAGAGCTCAGGGCTTGGGCTTCTGGGCTTCTGGGCCTTAGGAAGCCTTGGGGCCTCAACGACGGGCTCCTGCCCTAAACCCTAAACCCTAAACCCTAAACCCCTAAACCGAGAGACTCTAAGCTTCCATAAACCGCGGAAGGCTGAAGGGCTGAAGACGGTGGAACCCCTGAACCCAGAAGACTTCAAAATGGCGGGCTGAGGCTTTGGGGCCTAGCCTTACATAAGCTTGGGGTTTAGGGTTTAGGGTTTAGGGTTTAGGGTTTAGGGCCTTACATAAGCTTGGGGTTTTGCCTTACATAAGCTTGGGGTTTTGCCTTACATAAGCTTGGGGCTTAGCCTTACATAAGCTTGGGGTTTTGCCTTACATAAGCTTGGGGTTTTGCCTTACATAAGCTTGGGGTTTAGCCTTACATTAAGTTCTATGGCTTAGGGTATACCGGGCTTCTCTCAAAAGCGACGGAGCGTCGGCTGCCATCTGCTGCATGTTCGCGACGGGGAAGAGAATCATGATGCTCTCCTGAGCTCAAAAAGCGCCGTGCTTGGAGTTGACTGTAGGGGCCTTAATCATTAGAATAGGGTTTTGGGGTATGTTATACTATAGTTGCAATAATATTATCATCACTACAGCCGTCACTTACAAAACTATACCTGTTCCTATCGCTGCACAAATTACACCCACTATCCGTGCATGGCTCAGGTAAAAGATCTGGAGTCTACGAGTTGCGCAACGGGTGATATAGGGGCCTTCATAATTAGAATAGGGTTTGGGGGGTACATTATTCTATAATTGTACAAAGGAGCCCCCAAGACCCTATTCCAATAATTAAGGCCCCCTACATGATAGAACCCTCTTGTAGTGGATCCCTTATAGAACCCCTGAAAGGAACCCTTTAAGGATCCCTTTAAAGGAACCCTATTCTAATTATTAAGGCCCCTACAGTAGGCCAGCAGGGAGCCTCACGCCTCTCTCCCGGTTTCCTGTTTCGGGAGATCCGTTGTAGAGCCCTTTAAAGGAACCCTGTAAGGATCCTTTTCAACGAACCCTGTTCTAATTCTTAAGGCCCCTATATGACATGATAGAACCCTATTAATTATAGTAGATCCCTTAAGGAACCCCCCAAAACCCTNNNNTAAGGCCCCTATATTGAACGGTCAACATTGGACACGCCGGGCATCGCAGCCCTCGGGAGCAGCCGACGGATCCGTCCTCCCGGCAACCATAAGGAAACCAGACCGTTAGGGTTAAGGGTTTAGGGGTT